TGTGTGCAGCTGACCTGCAGTGTGAGCAGAGCCCGCCTTCCTGTGTGCAGCTGACCCGCAGTGTGAGCAGAGCCCGCCTCCCCCTGTGTGCAGCTGACCTGCAGTGTGAGCAGAGCCCGCCTCCCCGTGTGCAGCTGACCCGCAGTGTGAGCAGAGCCCGCCTTCCTGTGTGCAGCTGATCTGCAAGCGTGGGCACTATTCACACCGCAGGTCAGAGGCTGCACACAGGGAGGCAGGCCCTGCTCACACTGTACCTAGTGCGCTTTTTCCATCCTTCTTTTGTTATTCACATTTGTGAAGTGTCTCCTGGATTTATCACTGGGAGACATCTCTTCTCCTATTGACATTTGAGGAAAGTTTACCAAAATCCCAAACACTCCTCCTCCAGATAGTGTAAATGAGGTTTACTCAGCCCACTCCTACTTGGGGAAGTGTTGTGCTTTGTAGCCATTCTTTTCAATCATTCTATGTATGAAACATGACATTCACCACAGATACTCATTGGAAGAAATGGATACTATGACTTTGCTAATGTAAAGATTTGTTTTGTTTTGTTTTTATTCCTTTTCAGGTAGATTATGATGCCATCAAAATCCCAAAGTGGTTGACTTTGTCAGAAATGCACCCTGTGGATTATTACTCCTCCTATACAAAAAATTGCACTGGGAAGTTTACTGAAGAGGAAATTAAGAACATTAGAGCATTTTATTATGCTATGTGTGCTGAGACAGATGCCATGCTAGGTAGGTGGTATAATTAATAAGCAATTACATGGAAAAAAAAGGATAATATTTTTCCAACAAGTTGTGATTATGCTAGATAAGCTTGCAGGAGCATCTTCAGATATTTCTTAAAGCAGTTGGTTAGATACCTCAGACTTAGAACTTTGAGGATCTTGACTCATAAACATACATTAATAACAGAATAAAGGGCCCTTTCTATTTTAATTATTCATAAGTTCTCAGATGTGTTCATACATAAAGAAAGTCATAGAAAGCTGTTTTCTATTTGAAGCAAAACACAGTTGGCCTTAAACAGGTATGTGCGTGGCTGAACACAGATGTGTGACAGGTAACTGTAAGGCAGCTTAGCTCCCAGGAAATGAAAAGCTTCACACTCCAAACACCAATGAAGACTCAATTTGGGGATTTGCAAACACCTTCCTTGGAACCTAAAGACTTGCCAAATGGTCCTCAGGGGCCCAATGGATGGAGACATACAGGAAGTAACAGTAAAAAATATCTAATGTTTCACCAAACATTATTCCTCCTCTCTACCCCCTTCCCCCAGACAGTTTCTCTGTGTAGCCTTGGCTGTCCTGGACTCTATTTTGTAAGACTTGGGGGTCTCACAGCTCTGGAGTTCAAGATCGCGCCCTTCCCAGAAACTCCCCCAGACCACGACTTGTTGCAGAAGCAAGAGGTTTATTAACCATTGCGCAATAGGGTCACCCCTGCCGGTCAGCAAAGAGTGGCACCGGGAGACAAAGGCCTTTAGGTTTTTACAAGAAAAATTGCGGGAAATTTGAAGTTGCAGTGTTGGCAATTTAGGATTGGATGAGGAAGCTATAAAGTAAGATAATTGGTTAGTCTTAGGTGCTCAAGGTTGGCCAGTCCTGCCAAGTGTGGATGCAGCTGCAATTTAAGGTGAGAGTGGTTAGCTCATCCTTGAAGATTAGGGGCTGCTGACTTTTGGCTGGAGGTCAGGAGCTACTCAGAAGTAGTCTGGATTCGTTGCTAAGAAACACTATCTTGAAGGCAAGGGTCTGGTCGTTCTTTTTGCTGAGTGAAGGTCATTGCTTGCTTGCTTGCTTTTTTTCTATCTGTCCTCACAGATAGGGTCACATTTCTCCATTCTCTGGAAAGGTACTAAGAGGCTTTAGCTTAACCTGGACCTAAAACTTAAAACTATAGGCTTTAGAAGACATACAGGTTACAAAGTTAGTCTAACCCTTTCAATTCGTAGACCAGGCTGGCCTTGAATGCAAAGAAATCTACCTGTGTCTGCCTTCTAGAGTACAGATGTTAATTTCTTACATATGCTTTGTACCATTAGGTGTCAACTAATACTTTTATATAAAGTTAGAAAAAGTCACTTGCTGATAAAAGTTGTAGATGAAATTATTTTTATAAAATCATTCATACATACATTAAAATTAAAAAATTCCAATATGAATCTTATGATTACTGGCAATGTCAGTCTTAGGGGTGGAGCAGGGATAGGTTAAGGTGCTCTGAAAAGAACTTAGCACTCATGTTTGTTTCACAGTATCATTTTAAACATGTTTCAAATGCATTCTAGATGCTGGAGAGATAGCTTAATAGTTAAGAGTACTTGCTGTTCCTGTAAAAGACCCATAGGTCAATCAATCTGTAGTTCCAAAATGGTCTACTTTTTAGTGTCAAGTCAGATGGTAAACAGGTCTATGTACATTCTCTGTATTCTTCTCACTCAGAAAAATCAACAGATGTCCAATCAGCATGTAAAGTATCCTAGGAATAAATGTTAACAGTCAGGCTGGAGACAGAGCTCAGCTCTTAAGGCTAAGATGCACAAGAAATATATAACACCAATTTATAAGTCAAAATTTGGAAGTTATTGCCTTTAATATGTTAAATAACATAAGCTGATTAAATATGGGCCCACTGATTTCTGAGATCTGTTCATTTTTGGCTAATCTCTTTATTAGTTCAAAGGTAATACATACTCGCTGTGTGAAAAATATTTTCAGTTTAAATAATTAACACCTCAGGATTTACTGTCATCTCTAATTGTTCTTACTGCACATGTACCAGTATCATTTTAACGTCTCTAATAAAAAAAAACTTTTTTAGAGAGAATTCTTTGTTAGTATTTATAGTAGTTTCCACATTTGTCATACCTACAAACAAATTCATTCTCCCTAGAACCTGTAGAGTAAGGCTTACCCTCACCTCATATCCATTTCCTCTGGTGGCTGCAATCACTGGGTGTCCTGACATTCAGGCTCAAAGTCATCTCAGACAGGCCTCTGCTTCCATAACATGACTGTGGAAGAGTTCTCCCTGTTCACATGTATTGCAGTTTCCAGTTCCTACTGAAGAAACCTTGTTTAAAAACAACAACAAAAAACAGTATTTGGATGAGGTTATTTTCACAACATTGTGTCACCTTGCTACATATTAGATAGAACACAACTGCATTGGTGAAGTGTCAGCAGCATCTTTCTATACATGAAAAACCTTTGAAGACAAACAGCCAATGTTATTAATACTCACTGAGTAAATAGAATATAGCAGAAAGAAAAAAAAGGAAGCCATGTGGATAAGTTACCTAAATAATCAGTAGAAATATGAGAAAGTGAAAGGACTTTTCAAGATCTCAGTGTGTATGTGAGAGAGAGAGAAAGAGATAGAGAAAGAGAGGCAGGCGGACAGACAGAGACAGGGGTGGGGGAGTGTTTCATGTTGCCCAGACTAACCTTGAATCCACTATATAGCTGAGGCTGGCCTTGAATTCCTGACTCTCTGATACTATCTCCTAAGTATTAGCATTAGTACACCCCACCTCACCTGGCTCCAAGTTCTCCCTCGTAATGACAGTAATATTTGTTTCTTTAGCCAAAACTTTCTCTGACTGTTTAGTTATATGTTAGGGTTATTTTTATAAAACTGTGTTTCTTAGTCTTTCTCTTAACCTGGCTATCAAATAATTGAGACCCTTTTATATTTGTTTAGTAATAAGCTTCACAACATAATAACTGAGCAGTTATTACTCTATTATCAACCCTCTAAGCTAATCTGGTTTCTTCCCGGCATACATTCCAGAAATACTTACACTTTGTATCTTTGTTTAAGCTCCTTCTCTTGGTGTTTCCTGGATCTCTGTCATGGCTGAATCCCCTAGCTGAATTCCCTACTTCCTCTTCTAACTCCTCCTCCTCTGGCTGCCAGGAAGTCCAGCCCTATTCTCTTCCCTGCTCAGCAATTGGCTGTAAGCTGCTTTGTTGACATATCAGGGGACAATTGGGGAGCAGTGTTTACACAACATTTATTTCATTGATATTTCCTGACACTGGGGAATGTCTCATCTGCATCCTCAAACTGTGTTCAAAAGTTTGCAAGTACATCTTCTAGAGTGAAATGCTGCGTACTCGATACTGCTGCAGGGAGTGAGCACAACTCTTGAAGGGTCTTGAGTGGAAAAGGAAATTAGCAGATGCTGAATAGCTGAACAAATGTAAATGTGAAATAAACAGTGGAAGGCATGGACAAAGGAACGGTGAGACTGGTGTGCTAATGCAGAAGATCTAAGGTAGATGCTTCTGAGGAAGTGGTTTGTGAACCAGAACTGAGAAAAAGCCAGCCATGTAAAAAGCAAAGAAGACATTGTAGGCAGATTAAGCAGGAAATATAAAGGCCTCAGGGTAGAGAAGTAATTGTAATGTCTTTAATATGTTATTTCTTTTTTAGAGAGAGAGGGGAATTAGATGTTTTAAATATACTCTCTACTTTTAACTTTATATACTTCATAATATATACTTTTTCATTCATGAACATTAAGAAAGAAGTACACAGAGAGAAAGTTGCATCCCAGAGCACAGATGTGGGTTTCATAAAGAACAGTCAAGAGTTAATATATTCTTAATAATATTCAGTATAGAGCCCAGCAGAGTACCTGATAGTCAGAGGTTCATCAAACAAACACAAGGCAGCCAGCAAGATGGCGCAGGTGAAGTGCTTGTCACCAGCCACATAGAAGAAAGAAGACCAGACATCTGAAGGTGTCCTCGGACCTCCACCCTAGTACTATGGCTCATGTGTGCATATAGACATATGCATATATGATAAACATATAGAAATAGATAGACACCAGGGTTTAAAGTATATGGCTGCAGTTGTAAACAAACCACACCTCAGGAAGCTTGGGGAACAGAGTGATTAGGTGTGGAAGAGCAGAAAAGGCTTCACCAGCTAATGATTGAGCCGGCTCATCAAAGAAGAGTGAAATTGTGACAGGAAGGGAGGAGAAAGGGCATTCAACACAGGCAAAAAGGCATAAACTACGCCACTCTTTAGGGTATACTGTGTGGTCTAAGACTGCTAGATTTACCAGACAGTAGAGGATCCTAAGTATATAGAGTAGATGAAGAACTTATGTGTCCTGCTAAAGAATTAGACAGTGGGAAGCTGTAGAATGTTAAAGCCTCAGGCCATGCCACCCTGAACATGCCCATTATAATCTGGAGTTTTAATTAGACTTGTGACAAGACCGGGTCATCAGATCTTTTAGAAATAAGGCATCCACCAGAGTGTTCAAGGCATACCATTGAGGGAAAGAGGAGTGGGGTGGGGAAAGAAGACCTGACTAGTAAGCAGTTCCTTAACTCTGTACAGCCTTGACCCTCCACGTTGACTGGACCTTCAAATGTGTCTTTGTGCACCCTAGATTCAAGATCTACCAAAATAAAATTTCTCCTGTCTGCACTATGCTTTATTGTGATTCTCATAATTTCAATGGCAGCAGCTTTCATGGGCAAAGGCTCTTGGGATATTACTGCTCTGTTATCCCCATGGCAAGCCTTGTGCTATCTGTGTGGCTCACCTTTCTCTGAGACAGCTTTAGGCACATAAAATGCCAGTTGCATAGGGGCAAGGAGAAAAGGTAGCAGGAATTGTGGGTCAGTAGTGCAAAGTAGGTTTTACTGAGATGGTAAGTATCCCAACAAACTCTGAGTGCAGTTGTTTAAAATTAGTGTGATAGACTGACATATGAACTAAAGCTAATCTGAAGATCTATCTTGATTTTACAATAGGTGAAATTATTTTGGCTCTTCACAAGTTAGATCTTCTTCAGAACACTATTGTTATATATACTTCAGACCATGGAGAGATGGCCATGGAACACCGCCAGTTTTATAAAATGAGTATGTATGAAGCTAGTGCCCATGTTCCTCTTTTGATGATGGGACCAGGAATTAAGGCCAACCTACAAGTACCAAATTTTGTTTCTCTTGTGGATATTTACCCTACTATGCTTGGTAAGTACTGTGCTTGGTAAGTGATTGTGGAAATATTTATTTGTAATGCTGGAGGAAAAAAAACAAACAGAAGTACTCAGAATCTTCCTAAATTGAGCATCTCTCTGTGTCAGATTCATACTCTGAAGAACAAGGACAATGGCCCTTGGGTTCCTATGGCCTTCATCCACTTTGGTCATTCTCTCTTCAAAATAATCACAATTAGGATATGACTATAAATTAAGACACTTTGAGTAAATACTATTTATATTATGAAAAATAACTTTATGTATATATATGTATATATGTGTATATATGTATATATATATATACACAATATACAATATACACAATATTCAACTCTACCACTACCTCCCTAAAATGTAAGTTTTTCCACTACAGAATCTTCTATCCACTTTTTACAAGGGGCATTAGTTACTTTTCTGTTGCTGAGACAAAGTACCATGGCTTATTTTTTCAGAGAGTGAGAGTCTATGATGGTGGAGTAAAAGCATAGTGAAGTGGCAAGAACAGCTGAGACATCTTAATCTACATCCATAAGGTAGAAAGAGCCTGCCACTGACTCACCTGTTGGTTTGTGACACAACCTGGTTGTGACACACCTGGTTGGTTTTTTGAGATAGGGTTTCTCTGTATACTGGAACTTGCTCTGTAAACCAGGCTGGCCTCACATAAAGTAATTTTGACTGTGGGCCTTATGTGCCAAGTGTTGTTTTCAAATTTTAACTTTTGGTTCATTCACCGAAAATGGACATTTGAGGTAGAAGTACTATTATACTTCTTGTAGAAATGAGGAAATAGCCAGAGGAGTTACTAACTCACTCAAGGTAATAAGGTTCACAGAGTGAGTACTTCAGTGTAGGTTACAAATCCATGTATTATCTCTAGTCTGCAATGCTTAGTGATGAGGAAATATAGATGTTTCTGAATGTTGACATAACTCCAGAAGTGGTGAAGGAAGAACAACAACAAAAAGACCACTTTACTTTTGCTCCAAAGACATTGCTGCGATTGCTGTGCCTCAGACCCTAAGTGGACACTCTTTGTTGACGCTGTCATCAGAAGCATCTACAAGTGAGCAGACATTCCAAACCCACCGTCCACCTTGGATTCTGAGTGAGTTCCATGGATGCAATGCAAATGCTTCCACCTACATGCTCCGAACTGACCGCTGGAAGTACATCGCCTACTCCGATGGTGTGTCAGTGCAGCCTCAGCTCTTTGGTGAGCTTCTTGATATAGTGGCGGGCGCTGCTCAAGAGCTTCAGGAATCGCTTTAAAATAAATGAGTATTTTATTTGCCTCTCATGCTGGGATAGGCTACAGTGGTTCAGCCTCATGTTAGAGTAAGTGTTTACATCTAGCCTCTTTATAAATCCACATGTACTGTGTAGCCTGTGACCGCTGGTGGTAAAGAGTGTTTAGTGGTATGAATTGTCAGTGTTCAGCTAATGAAAGAGGAGCAGCTTCTTCACACATCGGCACCAGAAACCAGAGACAGCACAGTGAGGCCTGCTACCCAGGGCTCATTCAACCCTGCTTCCTGGTAGGAGCTCCCAATACTTGTTTTGTTTCACCAGTCAATACCTCGAGTGTAATGATATACCTAGGTTTCATCGACTCTAGATGATTATTGCCTCACTCTTGGGACATCCGTACATTCTCAATACATTATTTGAGGCTCACCACAGCCTTATGGGATTGAGTCATTCTCTTAGTTTTACAGAGAAGAAAAGTGGTGTCAGAGAAAGTCTGCTACCTGTTGCAGGGCCTCAGAACTAAGAAGTTATAAAACTAAAAGTTCAGCATGGGTCTAACCACAAATCTCTGGTTCCTTCCACTGTGTGAAAATATGTTCTAGCATAACTCTCTGTGAATTTATTTTTAAACAGCATTTTTTTATTTAGAGTTTTTCTTTTGTCCCCAGGTTGTACATAAAACAGGTGTCAAGGCCATTTTTAATATTTAATGCTTCTTAAGTTTGCATCATAGTTACAAATAATAAAATTATTAGCTACAAATAATTCTTTAGGTCCAAACTTCCTTAAGGAGGGATTCCTGGTTTCCAGTGGAGCCACTCATATATATTAGACATTGTAAAATGGAACTCACAGATGTTGTTAAATGAAATCCACAGAGCTCCTCCACCAAGCCCAGCAAACCTAACCACATCCGAACAGTCCCTGGAGCTTAGTATCATGTAATCAAGCAATCTTTCACAATAGCTAATCCTAAGGGCTCATCCTAGCTCTCTATAAGGAGCCCTCTCTGTTTGACCATTGATGAAAAGTAGTATTACAATCTGCTGTCTGTTCCTAGCTTCTGATCTCGTCATCCTTTCTCAACTTGAAAAGCTGTTGGTGGTTTTTCCTCCCAGCCCCGAGCTCCAGCAATAACGAACCATGAGACTCAAAATAGTTTTACAATTACCTAGGCCATATAGCTAGGCTCTTCTCTGACTAGCTCATAACTTTAAATAGCCTGTTATACTAATCTACATTTTGCCACATAACTGGTTACCTCTGCTCAGGTACTATACTTCTGTCCTCACATCTTGTCGGATGCATCTCCTGTGCCTGCTCTCTCCCATAATTCTTTCTGCCTGCCAGATATAACACCTCCTATTTCCTGCCTAAGCGATAGGCCATCAGATTTTTTTAAATAACAGGCGATGCATCCATAAAATACACAAATATTCTCTCAACAAAAAGCCTTCCTCCTCTCTTCCCTTCTCCTCCCACCTCAGCTCATCACAACACTTTGTCTTTAATTAGATTAAAGTTTAATGAGTTACTGAGTTACTAAAGAAAATCCATTTACATCTTTGCGGTTGGTGAAAATTTTCTCTTTACAACATTCTGTAAAAGGCAGATGTGACTGAAGGGTCATAGGTGCACCAACCGTGATAGTATTGTCTAGCATTTATTTACAGACTGCTCTTTAGCTAGCTAGTAAAGTTACATGTGCTTCAGGCATCTCCTGACCAGTGTACCCAAACAGCCCCGTACAGACTTTCCCCGCTCAGTTTTCCTTATTCTCTGAAGTTAATGCTCATGAGTCTTTGACTTGCTGTTTTTCCAGTAGAATTTGTATTCTAAATTACATCCTCTGTGTTCCCATCCCATGTAAAAAGAACATGTGTGGATCTGAAACATTATTGAGAATATTGTCATTATTTCTCACTGGTTTTGGTTGAGAAAAGTAGTTATTTTTGTGGCATATTGCTCAAATGGACAGTATTGATTAGTGTAACTTTGAGAATTCTAAGCAACAGGCTGCTTTAAAAAAAATAAGATTTAGTAAAAAACAAACAGGGTTTACTCATATGAGGAATTGTTAAGCTGAGAAATGTAAAAGTGGCTATAATTAAGGCATTTGTAAGTATAATTGTTAAGATCAAGAAACAGGAAAAGTTTATTCTAAGCCAGCTTACTAAAAATTATGAGGATTTGGCTATTTTTGGCATCAAAGAGTACATAAGCAAAAAAAAAAAAAAAAGTGGATGGCTGGATGATGGCAAAAAGATATTTGGTCATTCATTAACAGGAGTGCTGTTTGGTGTATTATCCTTAGCCATTCCTTGCTTGGCGATCATTGGCCTAAGATGGCTGTGAGTCATCAAGGAATGTAGTGTCAGGGGAACATGGTTGTGTATGTGGTGTGCGGCTAAATGAAAGGTCAGTGTGTGGCATGTGAATGCATACTGCCCCTCTTCTACTAAGAAGAAAGGAAAAGGAAAATAAATCCTAATACATTATCTGTCGCAATGAGTCTAAACAATGGTTTTAGCATGTAACTACTTTATTTCTTTTCTTTCAGATCTTTCCTCAGATCCAGATGAGCTAACAAACGTTGCTACAGATTTTCCAGAAATTACTCGTTCTTTGGACCAGAAGCTTCGTTCTGTTGTAAACTACCCTAAAGTGACTGCTTCTGTCCATCAATACAATAGAGAGCAGTTTATCTTGTGGAAACAAAGCGTAGGACAGAATTACTCAAATGTTATTGCACACCTTAGGTGGCATCAAGATTGGCAAAAAGAGCCCAGGAAGTATGAAAAAGCAATCGAACAGTGGCTCACTGCCGACTCAGGAGCAGTAGACTGTTGGGGTACACTGTGTGAAAGGTGGAACTTCTGAGAGAGAGATAGAGACAACAGAGATATGCTGGGAGAGGAAGGCAAACGCAGGGGATTCACCAGTGGGCACGGAGGTTAGTGAACTGACTGCAGCAAAGCAGAGAGGTAGTACTAGCCGCATGACCAGACATAATGCAGGATAAGTCGGGTTAAGTGAGAAAGCTATCTGGAGTCTGCCCAGCAAAAGGCCTAAGCATTAAAGAATATTAAAAGATTCCATGTCATCATTTTACTGCCAGGATGTCCAAGAGAGTTTGCTGTAATAGACAATAATAAAACTTTCTCATTATCTACATGAATATGTAGATAAATATTAAACTGAAACAGCTTTAGCAATTGCTAATTTTACGTACTTTGAAATATGTACTGTATCTTAAGTGCCAATGATTACAGAACTACGTATTTTCAAAACTGGTTGTACTAAGATTTTATGGTTGCAGATCTCTGACAGTTTAATGACAGAAGTATTTAAAGGATAAAAGCAAGCATTCTTGTTGTTTCCCTGGGTAATGTAGAATATGAACTATTTTTAACAACTGTTGGTTATCACTTATAATGCTTCATGATTTATTTGTTGCTGATGTAACTCTTTGGATGTATTTAATGTTAGAACCATTTAATGGGACTTAGACTGTGGGCATAACTGCGTTTATTTCTTTTGTTAAAAAAAAAAAAAAGATTAAGGTAAAGCTTCAAAAGGCAGAACATGACGCCTCCTTCCTTTCTCAGTCAGCTTCCTCTAAAGGGCATATGACCCCCTTGCTTATATCATTTTGTGGACAAGCTGTATATTTGCCACCAACCAGATGAATATATTCTTTACTCACACATGCAGGCACACCCACAATTGAAGATATGCTGTACAGTGTTTCTTCGTGCATATTGTGATTTGGCTGAGAAGTAAAATTGCTGAGCAAAAATCTATAAAATTCTGTAGATTTTCCCGAGTTACTTCTAAAGCAGTTCTAGTAGTTGGCCTTCCCACCAGAAATGCACGCCCACACCTCTCAGCCCAATAAATAGCACATAAAACAAAGATATTTTATCTTTATTAGTTGCAAGTGCTGACATTTTTTTCATAGATCTAGTAAGCACTAGACTTGGCAACAGGATGACCTTTTCTATGTCTATTATTGGCTATTTTCTCTATTGGTTGTTAGCCTTGTCTTTCTGTTATATACATGCTTTAGACATTATTAGCCTTGTGAAAAATAAGAGAGAAAAAAGGGCTAAAAAAAAAGGGTAGAGATTGTTTAGTGGTTAAGAACACCTGCTACTCAACCCGAGAACTCAGATTCAATTACTGGCACCCACATAGTGGCTCACAACTTGTCTGTAACACCAGTTCAGGGGAGCCAGTACCCTTTTCTGGCTTCTGGGGGCCCCAAGCAAACATGTATGTAATGCCCAGACATAAATATGGGCCAAACACCCATGCACAGAAAATTTTTAAAAGTACAAGAAGTACTAGTTTGTCTTTCGATACTGACCTAGAATTTTTTACATCTAGAAATTTGTATTTTCTTGTAACATATTTGTAAATCTTTGTACCAAATAAATATTATGATTTTTAAAATTAAAATATTCTTTAAAATGAATCATTGTTTTGTGGTTTTTAAACTATTGACCGTTTATTTAGTAACTGTATCTTCTCGTACTGCATTTCATTATATCACATCTTAGGTTAAATCATCTTTCCCTCCACTGATTTGACTGAGCCAAGGTCCCATCCAGATGTCCTTCCTGAGTCCTCTGCTTCTCACAGTCTGTCCTGTTAATCTGGGGCCCAGTGCCTCATGGACTAGTCTCTTGTGTCCCAGCCAGTCTTGCTTACTATTTCCATACAAATTTTGACTATTTGTTAATTATCACAGTGGCTAGCTGGTGACTCCACTGGGTGTCTTGGATCCCCCACCCACCTGTCTCTCTCAGACAGGATCTCACTATGTAGCTCTTGCTGGCCTGGAACTCGATATTCACTCACAAGTTCTTTGTTTGTTTGTTTGTTTGTTTTCTTTTTTTGTTTGTTTGTTTTTGTTTCCAGACAGGGTTTCTCTGTGTAGCCTTGGCTGTCCTCTACTCACTTTGTAGACCGGGCTGGCTTTGAACTCACATAGATCCACCTGCCTCTGCCTCCCAAGTGTTGGGATTAAAGGTGTACACCACAAATTCTTGTTGGGGGTTGGCTGCGGTGTGTTACTGGCCCCAAAGATCTTGTCCCTGCTCAGAAAAGCACAATCTCATGTAAACCTATCCTTGTTGTGTAAACCTGCCTAAGTCATTATATCTGATTGATATAATATATTGATTAAACAGCCTATACCTGGGCAGAGCAGCATGAAGTAGGCATGGCTAAGGTTCCTGGGCTTGGAGAGGACAGGAGAATCATGGAAGACAGATGGAGGGGAAGAGAGGAGAAAGAAGGATACCATGGTGGATTAATGTGGAGAAAAGGGGCCAAGAGGAAGGACTCCACTAATGGCATGGAAAGGCCCAGATGAATACAAGCAAGAACCATGGGATTATGGATGGAAGGTAAACCAGATGGGGAGGATTAGTGGATGGGGTCTGGGAGATGGATGGTGAGGTTATTAGCCAGCGTAGGTGAAAGATCTGTCTAGCCCCAGGTAAATCAGGCATTTATAAAATCTAACAGGTGTCCGTGTCTTATTATTTGTGATAGCTGGTTAAATAATACCACTGTGATAATCTTAGGACTAATAATAAGCATTATAAAGCTCAACACTTTTTTTTATTATTTACTACAAGAAATTCTTGATAGTACTATCTGGAGCCTCTGGCAGGCTTGGAAGCTGACAAGTCAGTATCATTAGAAGGTGGTTTTGCTTCACTTTTCTTTTCACATGATAAATACTCTGCTCCCAGCCAAACAGCATCTGACTTGAGGTATCCTCACAGAGAGCAAGAGTCACAGTAAAATCCTTTGTCACCATGATTGCCTTTATGGTCATGAGAAAGATGCATGATATTATGCTTTGATGTCGCCAGATGCTTTACCAAGCTGGAATGTAAAGATATTGACCCCAGCAGGGCTACCTTGGAAGGGATGGACATCTCCAGCTGTTCATCGCTTTCTGGTTTCCAGTCTCCTTCTTTCAGCAATTGTTTGTAAGTTGTAACAGCACCCTGGGCCCATCCAAAACCTAGCCTCTTCTGTGGTAGCTATTAGCATGTGTGACTATACTTAACCCCTTCCAAGTTCTGATCACTCCTTTGATTCTGCAGTTAGGAGTCAAATGGGTAGAAATTAATAGCCTGGGAAACTGAGTCAGATGGAGGAAAAATATAACATACCAGATTAAAGGTGCCCGTCAAATATTAGTTTGGATTGTAAGAGACCTCGGTGGAGACCTACTCTGCAAGCAGGGTACAGGATAAGATTTCTCCACCAAAGCAAAAGAGCATATCAACCAGCTGGGCAGGGAATTATTCCATGCTGCTGCTGCTGCTGCTGCTGCTGCTTGCTTCTCGCTTCTCACATATATGAAACCCTAGCTCCAGTTCCCGGCACTTCCTGTCCCCCAAAAGGGCTGATACACATCCTTATACCCTGATCACTGCTTCAGGGCCATTGCCAATGCCAGGTAGTAGGTGATGTCAGAAAAGAAGAACACCGATGTGGGGAGAAGGCCAAGGTCAGCCCATCCCACCATTACTCCATCACCACAACTGATTCTGGAAGCCTGAGCAGCTGTTGCTGCCATGTTCCCTAGAAAAACAACTATTTTTTTAAAGTCAGTATCTTATCCAGTCTTTCTAAAGTTCAGTGGAAGGAAGTTTCAGTGGTAGAATTTTGCTTTGTACCTTATGAGACCATTCTGACAAACTAGAATTACTTTGAGAAATAATTGAACTAACATTTGGTTGGGGAGACATTGGCTATTGGTAATGCTCAGAGAGAAAAGACTGGACCACTGGGTACAGTTTTTCTGTACCCAGAAAAATGCCTTGGACAAACTCTGTGGAAGGGGTATGAAAATTAAATCAGGACTAAAATTCTCCATTGTTGGCATTCTTCCTCTTCCTGCAACATCCCAGCAAAGAAAGACATCATCACAGACACACTCCCTGATCCTGCTGGGGCTCCTCTAGAAGACAATGCACCAATATGAAAGACATCTTATATGATGTCTTTGCTCAGATTAATCTTAGGTGCATTATATATTCACCAATATATAGTCACCAGACACATATTTACTGGTTTTCTGCCATGTATCTGGACCAGCATGAGGCACTGGATGTATAATGAAAATAACAAATGTCTCCAGTCAAAATGATGGACCTTAGAAAATCAGATTCCTAGAGCAAGAAGCAGGAAAGGATCCCATCAAGCCCTCCCAACTCATGCATCTGCAGGACGCAAACGCTGCTATAGCCTGGGAAGCAGCAGACACCCACACCTCCCTGGCCCATGACCAGGAAGTAGGAGCAATTCTGCTTTCACCATGATTAATGTGATGGGTGCACAAAAGACAAATAGAGGCTTCCAACGCGAAAGCTGAAATATGTTTGTGAGGTAGGGCTAAACGCAGCAGCATTAAAGCTAAACCATTTCCTGTGAGTTGATTTCTTTTTAAAAAATTGGCCGCGGTATCATTTTCTTAGTCACCTTTTCTCTGGGCTTATCGGAGGCGTAGTCCCTCCTAGCAACCTCCCATCTGCTGGAAAACAGAATCCGGGGAAAGAGGAGTCTGCCTGCATGACACATCCCTTACTGGACTGAAATACCAGGGGGCTTCAATGCATGAACCACCATTTGTGTAAAAACCTGTTAGGGCCCTCCTCAGACTAGCAAAATGAGTTTTACCTCACTGAGAGTAGAGAGCCGCTGCCGTGCCCTGCTTCTAGTAATGAGTATTGGAAAGCATCTGCAAACCTCTGCTGCTCCTCATTGCCAGGCAACAGTGCGGCCCTCAGTTCTCTTCGACTAAACCGCTCTCACTGCAGGCAGAGGAAGGTCTAACCTCATCAGAGATTTACCTAACACCTCTGCTCAGAAACCTGTCAGGAACGTTAGAGGTGGGGAGTAGCTCTGTGGTGGACTGCTTGCCTCGCTGACACTCTGGGCAATGGGAGAAATGGGAGAACCCTGCCGGGTTTCTCATGCGCTTGTTTCTCAAGCTAGTACAGACTGTAGCATTACAAAATGTCTTTTTGCTTTTTCTCTCTCTCTCTCTCTTTTTTTTTTTTTTTTTAATCAAAAGTAGTATCTGTATCTTTGTTCCTTCTAACAATCACAGTTAATCGGTGGGGGAGGGGTGCACTCTCAGGCAGGAGTTTCCTATCTCTTCTATTGCTTCTGAGTTAACATTGATTAGCCTTTGCAGTGGTCACATACACAACTTTCTGTCTGGCCATAGGCCCACAGGGCACGGTTTTCAGAGCCCAGGGGTCACCGAGCCCGCTTGGGGCGGCCCAATAGATTAGAGGAGAGTTCTGCTGGGATTGGGGGAGGGGGCGAGATGCGGAGAAGGTGGAGAACAGGATCATGTGTGTTCCTCGAATGTACAACCCACATTTGAGTGACAAATGACGAGGACAGCCTATAAAAACAACTAAGCGCAAAGCTACCCGATCCCATCTCGCCCTGGATGCGTGCGCTTTTTCAACTAACTTTGGGAAGTCGCAGAGGCCCAGCGGTGTGGCCCCACCACCTCGCCTCCACTTTGGTATTTTGGGGGAGTACAGCCCTCAGCGTTACCGCTCCTTCTTCCGGACTAAGGATGGAGGAGGATTCCTTCAGCCCCTCGGCTCTGCCTCCCGCCTCCAACCTCTCCATACCTATTCTGCCGAGCTGGGGTCTCAACCTGACTTCGGGGCAGGGAGCCACTGTCCCGGGACCTCAGCCTCCGCCACGCGGGCCACCCAGCCACCGGATCCACCTGGTCTTCATAGGGATCATCCTGGTGGCCGCGGTGGCGGGCAACACCACGGTGCTGTGCCGCCTGTGTGGCGGCGGCAGCCGGCCCTGGCCGGGTCCCAAGCGTCGCCAGATGGACTTCCTGCTGGTGCAGCTGGCGGCGGCCGACCTGTACGCGTGCGGGGGCACCGCGCTGTCGCAGCTGGCCTGGGAGCTGCTGGGCGACCGGCGCCCGGCGCTCGGCGACCTGGCCTGCCGCCTCTCGCAGCTGCTGCAGGCGTCGGGGCGGGGCGCCTCCGCCCACCTGGTGGCCCTCATCGCCCTCGAGCGCCAGCTCGCGGTGCGCCGTCCGCAGGGCCCGCGGCTGTCGGCGCGCGCCCTGGCCGCCCTGGGCTGGCTGCTGGCGCTGCTGCTGGCGCTGCCGCCGGCCTTCGTGGTGCGCTGGGGCGCTCCTCCGTCTCCGGCTGCCAGCGCCTGGCTCGGGGAGCGTCGCTGCATGGGCATCTTCGCGCCCCTGCCGCGCTGGCACCTGCAGGTCTACGCGACCTACGAGGCTTTCGTGGGCTTCGCCGCGCCGGCCGCTATCATGGGCGTCTCTTGCGGCCACCTGCTGTGTGTCTGGTGGCAGCGCGGGTCTCAAGCTGCCGGGGCAAGGGCGCCCTGGCCGGCCAGCCCAGCCCGAGGCCCCTTGCCCAACGCGCTGCCCCACGCCAAGGTGCAGAGCCTCAAGATGAGCCTGGCGCTGGTGCTTCTCTTCGTGGGCTGCGAGCTGCCCTACTTCGCCGCCCGCTTGGCGGCCGCCTGGTCGTCGGGACCCGCGGGTGACTGGGAGGGAGAGGGCCTGGTGGTGGCGATGGGCGTCGTAGAGGTGGCCAACAGTGCCCTCAACCCTTACGTCTACCTCTTCTTCCAGGCAGGCGACTGCGGGCTCTGGCGGCGGCTGCGGAGGTGCCTGGGAGTTGTGTGCTGCCAGCGGGAGGGAGAAGGCGAGACCAGCGATGGGGCTGGGGACCACCAGGCCCTCCACCGCTACCGCTGGCCCCACCCCCATTATCACCACGCCCGGAGGGAGGAGCGGGACCAGGGCTGCCTGCGCCCACCTCCGCCCCGTCCCAGACCTCCGCCCTGCTCCTGCGAAAGTGCCTTCTAGGAGCTGCTGCACAGACGGGTCATTTGTCACTGTGGCAGTCTCCAGGCAAGGGGTCTGCCTAGATTACAAAGAGTCGATCTGTCTCCAGGACCACTGAGCCTGTCTGCTTCCTCCATGTTGTCTGTCGTACGTCCTTTCAATAAGAACAGGTCTTTCACATCCAGTTTGTTCTCTTCCCTCCAGTTCCTCTCATATTGCCCATTTGGAGGAGGCCAAACTCCTGGAAAGTTGTTAAAAACCATGCAAGATCCAGAGTTATAATTTTTGCAATTCTCTTTTATACTCCCATTGTGTTCTAGATAAGACCAGCTATTTTAACTAACTTGGCAAATTTTCCTTCGCTGCTGTGTTATGATTTGTGTTAATTTTGAATTGTGCTTAACTCAAGTGCATCTTCGGCAAGCAGCAAATTTGCTGTTCTTTCTGAGAGGATAATCCCCACAAGGCTCTTCCTGGGAGACTAGGATTCCTCCTAGCGATGCTGTAGAAAAGTGATCATTCTGACACTTCAGAGACACAGCATTTGAGAAATAAAAACATTTCCCACAGAGCAGCTACGACATTTTTTTAACATGGTAATGTGTTTTCTGGGGAGAAAATCGGTGTGGCTTTTGTTTCCAGTGAAACCTCCATAGAACAGAAACTGAGAGTTTCTGCGGGAGGAGAGTACCAAGCTTCCCTTAGTCCTTCCCAGTGTGCCTGTGTTCTGGGGGACACAGCTCTTGTGCCCAGATCAGCTTCTAAGTCTGTCCAAATTGAACTTCTAAGGGCAAAGCCTTGGGCAAACTAGACAAGGAAAATGGTAAGGCAACGTGCCAGGGTGGGACTCACTGTTCAAGTGTCAAGGAGATCTACGGGAGAAAGCAGGCGCCCTGCCGACGTGGGCAGAACTACATAAAAACAAACCAGGCAGGTGCAGAGGCCCTGCCTACAGCCGCAGCACTCTCAGGCAGAACCGTTAGCTTGCAGACTCCATAGTGAGTTCCCCAATAGTCTGGGCTACCCTGTCTCAAACAAAACGAAACAATGCCTGGCTTATTCATGTGGACTGGACAGAATTAAATCAGGAAACAGCTGATGCGTGAGCCCTTTTTAACTGTCCTCGAGTCTGGGGGAGGCGCAGTTTGTCCAAGCTCTATACCACGTGCTTAGCACCTGAGACCTGACAGCTCTCACACTTCCTGGTTTCCTGTCCGTAAGTAAATGTGTCTCTGAGAAACAGAGGGAAAGGGACTGGCCTAAGCTTACTTATACAAGTAATGACCTCCGAGGATTGTGTTTTGTTCGTGGTTATATCTGCATGCTTCTAGTTTGTTGCATGGTTTATCATGAGTCAGGTATAGGTAGGTTACATAAAAGGTAAGCTAAAGGGAATCTTCATTAAGTGCGCCTTACATTTCTCCAGAATTATTCTTCTTGGCGGATACACCAGTTCAGCCCACAGGAGGCTGTGACAGAAGGGACTTAGGTCTGTCCTCCTTTGTACCACTTGAACATTTGGCATCATCTTCCCCAGAGAGGCTGACCTATCCAGCTGAGTGCTGCCAAGAAACAGCAGCCATGGGACAGCGCCTCAAGGCTCATTCATCCCACTGGCTCAATCCAGCAATAACCCAAAGGTGTTTTTGTTAGAACCTAGTGAGGGCTTCTCCCAGCAAGAATGTATCCTTGCATCAGCGATCCATGGATTCGACATCATGTTCCCTACCTTCTTGCCACCAGAGGGACCTTGCTATAACAGAAAGATGTCTGTCCAAGGAAGGTCACTAGAGCCCAGAAGCTGTCTCTAAGTAGTGCTTAGACCTGTTGATGGAAGCCAGACTACCGCTGTCTTACATGAGGACATGAGTTCTTCTAAATGTGAGGTGAATTTGGCTCTGAATGTTTGATTCTTAATTTCCACTGAAAGTCAACTATGCAAAGCACATGACAGTTTGGTCAAATTGACCCTTTAGTATATTTCTCAAACACCTTCTGGCCTTAGTGCTCATTCAAAATGCCAGAGGTGAAAATGTTCCTATAACCCGCCTCTGCCTCCCTCAGTTTCCTAGCATTGTGATCCACACAAAAGAGATCAAGTGAGACACACACAGCGTAGAGCAGAAGACAGCTGGAACGTATTACAAGGAAAGTGGGCTGTTCTTAAGATGTGAAGGTAGACAGTGGACAGGGAGATAAGTGTGGAGGAAAGCACTCTCACAGCCTGAAAGTGGACAGTGGACAAAATCTATTGTTCCAACCTACATTTTAAGGCAGGCTTTCTGCCATGTCTTAGAGTTTCTGAAACAGACTTTCCTGAAGGGCACCCTTGTCCAGATGATTGATAGGCTCTTTGGACTCTCAAGGAAGGGGACAAGGTCAAGTCTTGTTTTCTGTTTTTGTTTTTACCAGAAATTCTTCCACTAGAGAGTAAACTTACAATCTTCCTGGCAGTTTAGAATGCCATCTCTTCACCAAAGACCAGAGACAAAACTCAGATCTCATTATTTTGACCAATAATCAAAGCCCTACAGTTCCTGCTCCTGGTTTTACAAGCTGCTAACTAAAAGAGAAGGATCAATACTCAAGAGCTTTCAAGTCTGCTAACAACTGGCTAGCAACATGATAGCAAGAAGAAGGACAAGTCATTCTCCACTACCAGCACACAGAGTCCTTCCTTATAGCCCCTCTCCTAGCCCCAAGAGCCTAGCCTCCCCTACTGAGTGCTGTGCTGGAAGAGTGGAAATTCAGAAGACTATGCCCATGGTTGAGCCAAAAGGACCCCTGGAAGCCCTTTCCCATCTGCCAGAATTTGAACAATAAATGTCACTGTGCTTCAGGGGTCCTTGCTTTCTTTGATTCTCTCCACCCTTATGAGGATATTATGGTCTGAAATACATAGGCCAGTAATAAATAGGCCAGCCAAAGAGAGCATACAACCTTCTTCACAAATCCAAGCCCAGGATACAGCATTAATTTTATACTCATTAATAAATATTTATTAATAATTATTTTATGCCAGGAGATATGTTAAACACTGGAAAAACTAAAATGAGCAACATGCTTTTACCTCAAAGAGACAATAGCAGATGCAGGAGACAATCTGACAATCCCACCTGAGTGCCACATTTTTTGATAGGGGGTTCAGTCAGGAGATGCGGGAACAGTGCAGAGGATCATCTGATAATCATGAGACTGGGTGGTTTAGCGCAGTCATTATTTTTGTCATCACTGTGGTTCTCATCACTGGTTGTAGTTTTAGGGGATTCCAGTACACACAGCAGAGATGATGTGGTGTTCTTTGTTTGGCCCACAGCAGTTAGAGCTCGCAGCAGGAGCGTGGCTTATTCACACGAAGAAGCAAGCAGTTCCATGCAGAACCAGGAACAGATAATGCTTTACAGCCTTCATGACTAACTTCAGTTAGTGTTAATCATGCGATTCTTGAGAGAAAAACCAGTTCTACAATTATGAGCCAAATCTGAAGCAAGCTTTAGTTCAGTGCAAGTCAGGATGATGGACCCTGGCCAGGTCCATTTCTGGGTTCCCAGGAAGTGGCACATTTTGCAGAGGCTTAAAAAGGTAAAACCACAAGGCCACCACATTTCCCATCAGGTCCAGTCAGGGGCAAGTATACCTGCTGATGCTCTTCCTGGGCACCTCCCGCCCCCATGTGAGCAAGCACACTGGGTGCAGACAGGTCAAGCAAGCAGGGCAAACAGGAACTTACCCTTAGCAGCCTTAACTGCAAACAGAACCTTTAATCTGCAAGGTATACTTTTCTGCTTTGCTTTCCCATTACTTGTTCTTTTTCCTGTTTTGCTGTCACATAAGAGAGGCCTCAGTCCCAGAGGCTCCACAACCTTCTATAGCAATGGCCTAGGAGAAGCTGGGCTGTAAAGACTGACCTGGTTGACTCCCCACTCTTTGGGAGGGAAAGGAGTGTTGGTTGATTTGAATGTGAAATGTTTCCCACTGGCTCATATGTTTGAATACCTGGCTCCCAGCTGGTGGTGTTGCTTAGAAAAGTTATAGAAACTTTAGAAAGTGGGGTCTAGCTGGAGGCAGTAGGGGAATAGACCACATGGGGTATAGCCCTGTGTCTTCTCTGTTTTCCAAACACCAATTCAATGTAGCAAAGTACCTCATATGTCCACTGTCTAACTGTGAGCCACTGCCACTCCCATGATTCTCCGCTATGCCTTCCCTGTCACACTGGCCTATATTCTAACTGTGAACAAACATTTGCTTCCTAATTTCTGTCCTGTATTCTGATGCCACGACAAGAAAAGTAACTAACACAGCAAAGTGTTCTAGACCGTGGGAGTAGCCCTGCTGAAGCATGGAGCATAGAACATGACCAACAAAGACCACAGCTGAAATGCACACTGTCAGGACGCCCACAGATAATGCCCATAGAGCCTGAGCTGCTAGGCTGTGTGGCCAAAGGAAGAGCCAGCCTCAGCTGAATAAAAATGATTTGTGTGTCAGGCCCGGAAAACAAAGAGCAGACTTTGGAGAATTTAATCTGAGTTACAAAATGATCAAGATGAGTCGTGGAAAGGTACTTTCAGTGGCTACCTCAAGGACAAATTAACTGAAAGGGCAGCACTTTATTGAGGCAGAAACCCATAGGAGTACAGAGAACGCTCAAAACAAGATTTGCACTCCTGAGATGATAAATTTCAGCTGGCTCAGTCATCACTTCTCTCTTCACCTTCCCTACCAGAAAAGTTTAACAGTTTCATCGGGCTTCGTGTTTCTATCTCCTAGAACAAGAAGTCCAGTGGCAGAAATGCTTCAGGTTGGTTAGCTGATGAGCTCTTACACTCACAGACTGTGATGGAACAACTTTATGTGTCAGCCTGAAGAAGTTAAATGATATCTAGATGCCCAGGAAAGGAGCATTTGCAGATGGGGGGAGGGGAGGGAGTATATCCAGAAGAGGTTAACCTTTCAATCAGTAGACTGTATATAAAAGATCTTTCCTCACCAATGTCAGTAGATCTCATCCAATCTATTAAGGACCTACTTGAGTAAAGAAAAAAAACACAGGGAAAGGTGTTAGGAAATAAATGCAGCAAGGGGTTTATCTCCGGCTAGCCAATGCCAAGATGTACCCCTGAGAAATTGTGCCTTGCAACAGATCTGGTGCAAAAGAGGTTTATTGGGGGAGGGGAGAGGAATGAGGACCCCAGGAAGGGATAGAGGCAGACAAACAGGGAACACAGAGAGAGCTGGGGTGGCTGGTGATCCTTTTATCTGCAGCACACACGGGGGCGAGGTGGGGGGCACCTGGTGAGTGTAGTTGGTGGCAGGTGATAACATAAGCAGTTGCTAGCTCCCTGAGAGCAGCCAGCAGAACTGCCTGTACACTAACGAAAGGGCAAATTAATCTACAGTCTCTTCTTGAATTGGGATAACATCCTACTCTATTTTGGGACAGAAGGGCTCCTGTATCAGAGCCTGCAAACCCTAAAATTTCCTTTCACAGCCCTCCCATAAACACATCTGGTTGTCAGGCATTTGTACTTTGAAGTGATATATATATATATACCAC